AAGTGTTTTGGACCAAAATTTTAAATTGATAAAGAAGATTTCAAAATGAAATTACATACTTACATTAACAAATCATCGATTAAACATGTCAACTATTCCAAGTTTGAAATACCAATTTAGAAGCAATAAAATATTATATAAAATGATTCTTAAGTGTGGATGGTTTTGAGAAAATAAAATATTTGAAGTGAAATTTTCTGTTTCATTCATAAAAGTTTTTCTACCCAATTTAAGAATTTATCAAATATGAAATATTTGGACTGATCTCTATACATTCCCCAGACCTTTTGTGGTTGTTATTTTGAGATGGTGTTTCTAAGAGTTAAAGGGCTTTAAAATACAATATAGAATAAATATATCTGGCTATGTTGTTTTGACTGAGCTACTTAATCTTTACGTAATTTTGGATCACCTGGAAAATACGCACTCTGATATATTACTTCATCGATACCTACAGATTCTGTTAAGTTAACTCAGTCACTTTATGGTAGCAATTCGCAGGTTACTATGACATATTTGTCTAGCCTGAGTAGGATTTTATCACACAGTTGTAGAATAACAAAAACTATAAAATATCTAACTATGACCTTAAAATGCCCTTTGCTGATACTGCCTTAATCTAAAAGTTGATTTTATAAATATAAATTTTTGTAAGATACAGATTCTTCCTAAAGTTGTCTCCCAATTGTTACTGTTCACTTCTTTAACAAAGTTCATGCGATATTTTCATACCTGTTCAAGAACTATTGTTTGAATGGATTTGGCTAAAGGTGTACAACTGGCGTCGTCAATACACAGCCTGATATGTTTATGCTGAAAGCTACGTTCACCAGGGCTAAGGATGTCTTGCTTTGAATATCATAGCTACTTCCAAAAGAACAGGAAGAATCTGACTACATTCCTCCTGAATGGATTTCAAAGACTCTGTGTCATTCCTATTGACAATATGAGAAAAACTGTTAGTTTAAACTAAATAGGAAATTAAGTGATGGTAAAACATCTTGGTCACCTCCAAAATCACAGGAATCAAAAAATTATCCAGCAGAAAAGCAATCCAAAAGAAAGCAAAGCTCTTCCCTTTGCTTACCATTGAAAACCTATGTGTTAGGTTGTAGTTCATTTTTTTTCTGGTTAGTTTAAGTGATAATGTGTAGCTTGGCCTAACCTGTTAGTTAATGAGCTATTGGGTGCCGTGGAGATGGTACCTTAAAATCTCCAAACCTCTGCAGCTTCTGTGTTTCTTAAAATCCACCTACAAATGGCCTAATTTGTTTTTTGAGAAATGAATATTTTCTTTCCAGGTTAAAAAAAAAAATCTCATGCGGTCTACTAAAATCATGTATTCTCAGTAGGATTTCTTGTTAACATTCTGGATTCTAAGGATTCATGCCACATGTATACAAACGTCTACATCGAAAGTACCCAGGAAAATTTAAGGTGTTGTCTCGAAATGCAAATCAAACACTGATCAGATTGCCTCAAAGGGCTGCTTTGTGTAGACTTCGAAGATGATAGTGCGTCCATGAGGATCACTCCCTTCCTAGGCAGTATCTAATCTGAGCACATTTTAGCAGAGCTGAAGAGGACATGTATGCAAATAAGAAACCCTCTTAAATAAACCATCCTCTTTTCTATCATCTGTAATATGAGGCTGAATTTGAGTCCAGACAAAATAGTACGATATAATGCAGAAGGAATCTATGCTGCTGTTTTCACCATTCCATAGTATTTTTTAAATTACCATTAAAAAATACATGACATAGCCATGCATGCTGGTATGTGCCTGTAATCACAGCACCATGGGAAGATGGAAAACATCAAGTTTGAGGCCAGCCTGGACAATTTAGTGACGTAGAAAGACGCTGTCTCAAAATAAAAACAAAAACAAAAGATGTGACACATAATTTACCATGGTGAGCCCTTTCAAGAGTACGGTACAGTCGCACTGGCTGCACACATTGTGACCAACACATCTCGAGCCAAACTGAAGTGCTGTGTGTGCACTTGTATATGTCTGAAGTGGGCTGTGTGTAGCATCATTGAGCAAATTCCTTTTATACCTTTTTCTCCTTTGGTTCATAGAATGCCAATTCTTTCCCATATTTACTCTTAATTCTCTATCCCCCTGTTCTTTCCTTCCCTCATTCCCTAACTTCCACCCATCCACGTGCCTTTTCTCTACTATAACATGTTTTGTAACAGTTCTGCAAGATTAGTTTTATAATTTTTTATCTTTAAACATTATTGACATTTAATACATTCGGGTATGCCAAATATTGAAAGATGAAGGTTTAAATTTACACATTATTTAAGCTTAATTCAAAGATATCAAAGACTTTTCATCATATATAACAAAAATAGTAAAATATGGAACATAAAATATTGATTCACTTGATTTTATTTGACTGCTGGTTGCTTATGTTGGAAATTATAACAAGACAAGAAATGCACCGTGAAGGTGGGACTGATTGTTAAAAATTACAATTCCAGTGGAAACCAGTGAATTACCAAGATATCTCCTTAGACATCTCTTTGGTCATTAAGTCCAATTAACCTTTGATATTTACAACTATAATTTTTGTATTTAAAAGATTTGTATTTAAATTCTCAATTCCATTAAGTCATAAATCAAGTGAGTGAAAACATTTTTGTAATCATAAATATCAAATGTATGAGGTAATATGAACATATATTTATATGGATTGACTATTTCTTTTTTATTAAAATTTTATAAACTAGGTAATCATAAAATGTTATAGCTAAAGTATTTCACAAAAGTGTAGTTTGATTTGTTTTATGAAGATTTTTTTATATGACTAATCTATCATTTTAAATAAAACCAATTTTCAAATATGACCTTCATATTAAACTGTATTCTGCCAATGAAATGATTCAATTTCTCAATTTCTTAAAAACAAAGTGGCATTTATTAAAGACTATAACTACTTTCAACACCTTATAGTTTTCAAATAATTAGTACTAACACAGACCTTAAAAACTCATGCTGTATTCTAAGTCCTTTATTTTAGGAGCAAGACTCACAAAGATTAAATAACTTGCCTAAATCAGGATAATTTATTAATGCACAGAACTAGAAACGAGACTGAAGGTCCACATCCTCAGTATGTATATACACACAGTTATCTATAAAATACTTAATTAAGCACAGTGTTTCATATATAATGTTCTGTT